CGTGTTTTGGTGATTTGGCTTCGGTCAACCTGTAGAGAAAAGAATGGTGATCACGGTGATATAAAAATTGCATCGAACGGAGGCCGGGAAGGGCCTCGTCGGAGGCAAAAACCGAGAGGGGGCGCGGCGGTGCCGCTGGGCTTCGGCCGCGTATTCCGGCCGTTTGGCCGGGATTTCGGCTTCGATTTGGCCATAGGAGGAATCAGTGGGGAAAAACGAGTCGGGGGTATGAAATTTACCTCGATCGGCGGTCGGAAATTTCCCCGGTGCGGCGGCGAGTGGCGGCGGGTGGCGGCGGTCGGCCTCTGGTTCGTCTTCTCCGGCGAGCGGCTGGCGGCTAGGGTTTGTGGTCTGGTGTGGAGGTTCTATTTATAACCCCTTGCCTTTTGATCACAGCCGTTCATTTTGTTTTAATCTGGGCCGTTCGTTTTTGATTGAATCTGGGCCGTCCGTGCGATTGAATCTGGGCCGTCCGATCGCGTGATTGATCTGGGCCGTCGGATCGCACCCACGCGGATCGCCAACGTGGCTCCTTTTGGAGTGATGCGGTCTTGCCACGTGGCAGGCCCTGGTTGGCCGGGACTGCTGACCGGGCCTGCTGACGTGGCTGCTGACGTGGCCGCCCTTTTTTTTTTTTTTTTTTTTTTTTTTTTTTTTTTCTCCTCCTTTCCGGGTGCTACAACTCTCCCCCCCATAAAGAAATTTGGTCCCCAAATTTGCCTCATTACTCTTGATCAAACAGATGAGGATATTGGGCCCTAAATTCTGATTCCAGCTCCCAAGTCGCCTCCCTAGGCGTGTGGTTCTGCCACAAGACTTTTACAAATGATATTTCCCGGTTACGGAGTATTCTGCTTTCTCGGTCCGTGATACTGACCGGTACTTCTTCATAAGACAAGTCCTCTCGGAGTGAGAGCGGTTCATGAGCCACGACATGAGAAGGGTCCGGATTGTACTTGCACAGCATAGATACATGAAACACATTGTGAACCCGGGAGAGCTCAGGGGGCAGTGCAAGTCTGTAGGCAGTGGTACCAATCTTGTCTAAGATTTCAAAGGGTCCAATGTATCTGGGGTTTAATTTTCCCCTTCTGCCGAACCTACTAATTCCCTTGAAGGGGGTGACTTTAAGAAACACCCGGTCACCTTTCTCAAAGGCCAGGTCCCTCCTTCGGGTATCAGCATAGCTCCTTTGCCTACTCTGAGCTGTCTGGATGTTCTTCTTGATCTTAACTATCTTGGACGTGGTTTCTTCCACTAAATCCGGGCCAAACAATCTTCTATCGCCCACTTCCTCCCAACAAATCGGTGACCTGCACGGACGCCCGTAAAGCGCCTCGTATGGGGCCATGCCGATGCTTGCTTGGTAACTGTTGTTGTAGGCAAACTCTATCAGGGGTAGATGGTCGTCCCAATGGCCTCCGGAGTCAAGACACAAGCTCGGAGCATATCCTCCAGCGTACGGATTGTCCTCTCTGATTGTCCATCGGTTTGGGGGTGGAAGGCAGTACTAAGGACAGCTTTGTTCCCATAGCTTGCTGGAAACTATTCCAAAACCGAGA